TTAGACTGGCGGCTGCCTAGGGCTGAAGTGTTTGGGGGAAAATGAGGAATAACTGCTAATGGGTATGGGGTTTTCTTTTTGAGGTAGTAAAAACGTTCTGGAATCAGATCATGGTAATGGTTGCACAACTTTGTGAATATATTAAAAACCCGTGAATTGTACATTTTATTTTATTTTATTTTATTTTTAAATTTTATTTTATTTTATTTTATTTTTTAAAAGATGACCGGTAAGGGGATCTTAAACCTTGACTTGGTGTTGTCAGCACCACGCTCAGCCAGTGAGCGAACCGGCCATCCCTACATGGGATCCGAACCCGTGGCCTTGGTGTTATCAGCACCTCACTCTCCCGAGTGAGCCACGGGCCGGCCCCTGAATTGTACATTTTAAAAGAATGAATATTATGGTATATGAATTATATCAATAAAAAACTTAATGCTTTATATGTAATAAAAATTCAGCATTGTTGACAAAATTAAAAATTCATCATCAGTTATCTTTCTTTGCTTGAAAAGATTTCATATTTTCTTGAGTATAAAAAGGAGATGCTTTTGGGCCGGCCCTGTGGCTCACTCGGGAGAGTGCGGTGCTGATAACACCAAGGCCAAGGGTTCGGATCCCACATAGGGATGGCCGGTTAGCTCACTGGGTGAGCATGGTGCTGACAACACCAAGTCAAGGGTTAAGATCCCCTTACCGGTCATCTTTTAAAAAAGAAAAAAAAAAAAGGAGATGCTTTTAATCAGTCAGATGATATGTGACCTGATCATTCAGGTAACAAGAAAATGTTATTAAATTTTCCTCAACAATTGCCTGAAAATGAAATTGAACTACCTTGTTGCCAGCCAGTTGTATCTGCGTATATGTATAAGTTGGAGTTCCCAAAATATTGTGAAACCAATGCAAAGAGAAAAAACTCTGAATACTGAATCTAACATTTGATCAATGGTATTTTAATCCAGATCAGTTTTCTGAAAGTGTAAGACTTAATGTGATAGCTTCTCTTTTCTTAACCCATGAGGTAGGTAGGAAATATTTGGAGGTTTTTCCTTCTAATCACGTAATTTTAAAACAATTGCTATTAACATGATATAATTTATGTAATAGAATACAAAATTTACATAAATTTTAAAGATACACATGTAACTTCAGAGAATTGTTTTTATTTTAGTTGGCTGCTGACCCATAAACCATCTGGAGATACATGTTTACTCTCCTATACAATTTGGGATATTTTGGTGGGAAAGTTTGAGAAGCACCGATACTGACAACAACAGTATTGAAAATGCAAGAGAATATACCACCGTTGGGCTGGGGTTTCCACCATTCAGACTTCCCATTCTAGTCTTCAAAAAAATGAAATGTAAATAAGATTGCATTTAATGCTTTGATCCATCATCTACACTTTCAAATAATATACATTATTTAAAGTATTATACTAAGCTGAGGGTAACAGCCAAGACTAAGATGTCATTTTTTTTCCTACACTGTAGATGGCTTAAGCTATTATACAGCGTGTAAGCAGAATTACTTGTTGAGCCTCCTGTTTTTTACAGCTTTCTAATGTATTTTGTGACTTTACTTGCAAAAAGCTATCACTGATTATAGCATAAAGACTAGATTATATACTTCTATAGTTTCTCAGATGGCTTGGCCCTTCCTGCTTGCATTTCTTAGTCCTCTCCATTGCACAGTAGTTGTTTTTGCTTTTCAGCTTGGTGTAGGGAAAGGGGTAAGGACTTGAGGAGTCAAACTGACTTAGGTTCAAATCCTGGCTCTTACCTTTTCTATCAGTGTTATATTGGATAAATCACTTAACCTCACATACTGATCTCTTTTATTCCTTATAATATTGTAAATATGTTTGTTCAATTTACATAGAGAAGGCTGACTTTCAGGTAAAATAATTTGCCCAGAGTGAAGCAAAGGTTGAACCAAACATTTCTGATTTCAAAATAGTCTTCCAATTTTATCATTAAAGTAGTAGTGAGATAGTAGGGGTATCCAGGTATTAAAAGAAAGAAAAGGTCTTGCTGCAAATTCTGTTGTCATCATTTGTAAGCTGCGTACTCTTGGGAAGCATCTTTTAATACTTTCATTCTTAGTTTTCCTTGTCTGAAAAATTAGAAAGATGATACCTCATTAAGTTGTATTTGTTTTTTCTAAGCCTTGCTTTTATTATCATTTGGCATGGGAGCTGTGTATAATGAGGAATTACTGGGAAGCAGAAATGAAAGCATTTATAGCTAGAGAGTAGATTAGAAAGGAGAGCCATTTTCTGAATAGACTATGAGCTCCATTAGGACAGTGACTGTTTTTTATCCTTTCAGCCCCTGCTCCTAACATTACCTGGCACATAGTAGACTATCAAAAGAACAATGGATTAATATTGCATGGTGGGGTTCTGTATCGTCTACTATACTTTATTTATAGATAAACTTAAAGTCAATTTGGATTCAGAACAAGCAGTAAAAGAAGAAAAAATAGTGGAGCAACCTCCAGTGTCTGTCACTGAACCAAAGCTGGCAGCTCCTGCAGGCCCGAAGAAATGTAGCAAAAAAGCAGAGCCTGTTAAGATGCAGCAGATGGAAAAAAAAAGGTAGGAAAATTTTGTTGCTTGTGGGGGGAAAGTGTCTCTACTGGGGGTGAGAAGGTCTGTTTGGGCTTATTGACAGCAAGCAGTTTTCAGTTGAGTACTAAATCCTACTTAATGCCTGAGGGATATAACTGTACAACCAAAATGGAGAGAGAAGCTAATAGCTTATCTAGTGAAGTAAGACTGTAGAACCAGCCAGTTTGGATGATTTAGGGTCCAAAGTTTGGATGATTTGGGTGGGGGGGGGGGCCTCCATTGATCTAAATTGATTGTCTTCTTCCTTAGTCCATTTTAAATTTGTGGACATGGTATTAAGTGTGCCTAATTTTTTGTGTGTGTGGGGGGCTATATCTGTTTTTTACTTAAAATTGCCAAATTGAGGGGTTAATATTTCCAGTCATATTTAAGAGAAAAAGTTCTTTGTTTTCTTTTTATATCAATGAGTTTATTTTTCAAGTGGTGAAATGTAATTAGAAAAGAAAATAAAAAGCACACAAGCTGTTAAAAATGGATCCAGGAATTTGAGACACTACCTCATAGCTGGTAGAAATTAGTCTGTTGAAAGAAATTCTAAAGGACACTGTCAGCACTGATAGGCCAGGAAAGAAAAACTTGACTTTTGTGGTAAGGTTGGGGCTACTCTCGTAGAAAACATCAACAAAATGGTGAAGTTTCACAGGGTTAAGGCTCTGCCAAGTGGGCCTTGCCTCCTAGGAACATGTGGTATGGATGGATTAAAATGTCCCCAACCATAGGTATAACAGTCACTGATGATGGTTATTGCCAGGAATACATTCAGTATTTCACTGCTAAGCAGGATGTTAAGCATAGGTTTTTAGTAGATGCTCTTTACCAGGTTGAGAAAGTTCTATTACAGTCCAGGTTTGCTGAGAGGTTTTATCATGAATGGTTTGAATTTTGATACGTGCTTTTTCTGCATTTATTGGTATGATCCTGTGGTGTTTCTGTTGATGTGGTGAATTACACTGATTGATTTAAACATGTTAAACCAACCTTGCATTCTTGGGACAAACCCCATTTGATCACGATGTATTACCCTTTTTATACGTAAAGGTACTTAGAAAAGTTTATGGAAAAACAGAATTAAAAGATAATACTAATCTTTCCATGAACTTTTTGAAGTACCCTCATATTGCTGGATTACATTTGTTAATATTACATTAAGAATTTTTTGCCTCTAGGTTTGTGAGGGCTATGTTAGTTATTTTCTTTACTGGCAATGTCTTTGTCAAGTTTCAGGATCAAAATTGTGCTCACTTCACAAAATTAGTTGGGAGGAGTTTCCTCTGTTTTCTGAAGGAGTTTGTATAATATATATTCTTTCTGTCTTAAATGTTTGATAAAATTCACAGTGGATATTCTTTGTAGGAAGATTTTTTATTGTGAATTTGATTGCTTTAAATAGAGCAATTCAAGTTTTCTAGTTCTTCTTGGATCAGTTTTGACTAAATTGTGTTTTTAAAGGAATTTATATGTTTCATCTAAGTTGTTGAGCTTATTGGCATAAAGTTGTTCATAAATGGCTGTACTCTTTGAGTATCTGTAGAATCTGTAGTTATCACTAGAGATTCTTTCATTATTTCATTTCTGATTGGTAGTGTGTATTTTTCTCTTTATCAGTTTTGTAAAAGGCTTATTAATTTTATTAATCTTTTCCCACAAAATAACTTTTTTTTTTTTTGTTTTGTCTTTTTTTGTGTCTGGCAACGCATCACAACCCTCAGTGTCGCGCCCGTACCGGACCAGGACCGGCAACGGGATTGCAACCCTCGGTGTTGCGCCCGCACCTCGCTCAGCCAGTGAGCGGAACCGGTCTGTATGTGGGATCCGAACCCTCGGCGGGAGCGCTGCCGCACTCCCAAGCGGCGCACTGTAGCAGTGCGCCACCGGGCCGGCCCCACAAAATAACTTTTAACTTTGTTGATATTCTCTATTTTCTATGTCATTGATTTCTGCTCTTTATTATTTCCTTTTACTTACTTTGAGTTTAATTTATTCTTTTTATAGTTCAAGGTAGAAAGAAAAGTTGATATTTAAAGTTACGTAAGACATAGGGACTTTACGACAGGCTATGTTGTACATATTTGTGTCTTTAACACATAATAGGCCCTTGATAAATTGTTTGTTGATCGACTGAGTAGTGTGATGGAGTATCCAGACAGAGGAGCTAAATGATGTCAAGGTGGAGTCTAGGTTTTTCATGTCATTAGAATCACCTTAAAGTCTTATGTCTGTGCCTTTGCTCATATTTGTCTCCCCTCCCTACCTGATGAGCATCTACTTAGCTTTTAAGGTTTTCAAGTAAGAGTCATGTTCCATAACATTTTATTTGTCTGATAAAATTTATTGCATTGTATTATAGCTAATGGTGTTTGCCAGAGCGTCTTGATTTTCTCATCCTTGGTGTTAAACAGAGGGCCTAGTATACAGGTAGTAGTTGCTTATTTAATGTTTGTTGAATGATTAAAAGGTGAATAGAATGATTAAAAGGTGAGTAGGGGAAATAAGGAATTTGGAAAGATTCTTGATAACCTGGTTGTAGCTTCCAGTGGTCTATAGAGAGCTAGAGAAATTTTTTATGCTGGTTACCCCATGAAGTAACCTAGTTGTGGTCAGTTAGCAGAGTATTCTTTAAAAAAAAACTTATTGGTCTACTTTGACTGTTTTTTTCTGCCCTCTGGAATTAAGACCTTGAGTTACAAAGCAAGACCCATAAGAGTGTATGAATACTTACATTTTGTTCTGTGTTACATGCTTAATTTATTCCTGGATGGCAACAGGGGGAAGCGAGTAGAGATATCTGATGATGAGACAAAGGAAACTGAAAACATGAAGAAAAAGAGGAGAAGAATCAAACTTCCTGAGTCTGATAGCAGTGAAGATGAAGGTGGGCTTCGTTATTAATTTTTGGCAATGGGGATCAATTCTTATGATGCTCAAGGAGCTAAAAAAAATAATTCAGTATGGTTCACAGTGAGAGCAGTAATCCTAGCATTGAGAGACATACAGCACCTATTTCTGTTTGAAATGTACTTTAGCCTTTTGACTAGAACCATCGTCTTCTGGTAATTTACCAAAATAACTAACACAAAGGAAAAGAGGGTATGGATTATTATTATACATAATATCTATAACATTTCTTTTCTTTTTTTTTTTACAAGGGGAATATTACTTTGGGTACCTTCATGTGAATCTTTTAAGAATTGTGATATTCTAGGCATCGAGGATATTGGTGGTATTCCACACCATGTAGTAAAAAGGTGGTAAAACTGGAAGAATCTACAGTGTCATTGTTGAAAGGGAATGACACTGTGGACCCTTCCAGTTTTAGGCTGCAAACAGTGTTGTAAGATAAGCAAACAATAAGAGTCATGCCAGGATAATTGATATTCTTTTTAAAAGAATATCAAGTACCCTTAAGAGCAAAGATCTCTTTCCAAATCATGTAAAGAAAAGTATATAGGAAGAGAAAGAGGCTAATGAGAAAGACAACTGGGCTGAACCGATATGCCCAACAACTCTACCCTGAAAAGCTTGCTTTGATAACCAGTGGTGAAAAGCTTGAGCTGCTATAAGCAATTCTCCACAAATTCGTGGCATAATGGGCATAACACATTTTAGGTAATAGGGGAAAATCTAGTCTAAAGGTATTCAGCATCACATAAAGGTGCATAGACTAATGTAAGCAAACTGATACTGAAAGGGATTAAAGGAGAATAATGAATGCAAAAAGGGAACCTGCTATGCTGTTAAAGGACAAAACTAAACTTATAAGACTCTACTATTACCAGAAACTGCTGCAGGAAGAGCTGAAAATGGTAAGAGAGGCTCCCCCAAAAAGGTTATTAGCTCAACTATACAAGTGAGTGAAAAAACAAATTGCATATGTAGGTGAAAGTAATGCAAAGAAATGGACAAACCTAAGAAATACTACCAAGAATTTGAATCTCTCTGTGATAGAGGTACCATCTTTGACTCTTCTGCGGATTCAGATCCTACCATTCATGCTTACATGTTAAGGATTATGGCCCCTGATATCCTGTGAGAGGTACAATGTCCTTCAGAGGTATGGTTTTCAATGGCTGTTTAGAATGAGTAGGGGTAGGACATTGTTAGCATCCCAGAGGGACAGTTACTATATTTTCATTCCATGTCATTTATCAGAATGCTTTGACCAAGGCTACTAAAAGGAAGATTCCCAAGTGTGTGGATGAAATAAGAACCATCAAGTGACATTCTGACCTGTTAATAATTGAGGAAATGTAGGCAACTTCATGTAGACACATGGAAAAATAATTAGGAATTAAACTTGGCTACCTTCAAGGGCTGGCCCATGGCTCACTTGGGAGAGTGCTGTGCTGATAACACCATGGCCATGGGTTTGGGTCCTATATCAGGATAGCCGTTTAGCTCACTGGCTGAGCGTGGTGCTGATGACACCAAGCCAAGGGTTAAGATCCCCTTACCAGTTATCTTTAAAAAAAAAAAAAAAAAAAAAAACTTGGCTACCTTCATGTGAATTTTTTAAGAACTGTGATATTCTGTGTATTGGTCATGTTCCATACCATGTGAATGTGCTAATTGGAACAGTCTTCCCAATTTCTAATCAGGAAAAGAACTTTGGGAAGATTCTGGAAGTCTTTGAAGCTATCAGCCTAATGTACCTTAAAAAGGTAAACTAGATACTTTATTAGTGAAGGAGTCAGCTCTAGGTCGAGGAATTGCTGTGGTTGATTGAGCACTCATCACATACTTCTGAAATATTTTCTAGTTGTGATCTATAGCCCACAAAATACCTGTGGGTGATTAGAAATATGAGTGGGGTTATTTAGTTTGGAAAGGAGTGTGAAGAAATGTAATAGAGGTGAACAACCTATAATAACAAATGATATAGAACAGAGGCTCTCAGGTTTTTTCCTCTGGCAAAGATAATTTTTGGCATTTGACTAAATTTATAAACCTCAGCCATTTTATTCTTAAATTTCTTCTTTGTCTCAATGCCAGTAGGATTTTATTTTAAACCTTTACACAGTCTCTAACTTACTGTTTTATTTCTGTTACACTGAATATGTGATAGTAGTGTGATATGCCATCTTAAGCTAGAAGTTAGCAAAGGAGCAGCAGGAGCGGAAGAAATGGCAGGGACTTTGGAGTCAGACAGACCTAGGTTTAAATATTACCTCCACCACTTACTGTGTGACTTTAGGGCAGATTACCTAACTTCTTTAATTCCTTATTTCCTCATCTCTAAAATAGGGATGTTATCATAGGCTGTAGGCTTTTTATGAACATCAGATAAGATGATGTGTCAAAAGTGCCAAGACAGTGCTTGACACATAGTAGATTTTCTTATTACTCACCCCACTTTTCCTGTTGAGGTGTTCAGTAAGTGTTCAGCAGTAGTAAAGATACTTGCAGGTACTTTCTCCAGAAAATTCTATTCAAATTCATATATGTAACTCTCGACCTAAGGGTCTATTCCTTTCTTCTTCACTGATGAGGTCATAAGCACCTTTAGTAGTTCTACATACTCTCTTTGTAAAGCAGAAAAAAGCCAGACCCAGAAAGAAATAACATTAGGAATAATATCTACATTGCTAGGAAGAAATAAAGTTTTAGCGGACAAGTTTGTCTCTTCTGACATTTTCAGTCCTTGGAAGTTGCTTATGGAGAATGTTATGCAAATCAATATCCTTTTTTAGGTAAGGATAGGTATTTAAAAAAATATTAAGTCTTAGGAAGTTGTGAATGCTTTCCAGGAATTCTAATTACCCATCTCTGCCGGAGAACTATTTGACAAACAAGTGGTTACATTGCTGGATCCCTGTAATTAGTTTTACTACATTTTTTATTCTGCCCCAACAAAGGTTGTTTTCCTGAGATAAGTGATGTTTCACTGCTTGAAACATCACTGTCTTTCATCGGAAGACCTGCAGATTTGCTACAAATATATTTAGATCAATGCATCAAGCATTTTTTATGCTTATGTCACTAAAACTGTATTGAGTTAGAATGTTTGGCTTGATGATAAAGACTAAAGCAGACTGACACAGATTCTGATTTGGAATGTGGACAAGTTTTTTTATTTCTTTGACCCTCAGTTGTATAAAACAGATAAAATAGTGATTTTGTGGAGATATTATGAGAGTGAATGATTGATACAGTATTTGTATCAAAGTCCAGAAAATTCCAGTTGTTTTCCCTATCCTTTCTTTCTTAAAATATTTTATTTTTTAAAAGTTTAAACAAAGTAATAGATACAATTTAAAAAATCATATAAAGTAGAAGTTTTATAATAGATAGTAATCTCTTGTGTCTGATTCATGTAATTGACTAATGCTTCTCTTGTCAACTTTCTCCCATCTGCCTTGTATCTTCTAGGGATTTTTTTTTTTTTTTACAGATGACCGGTAAGGGGATCTTAACCCTTGACTTGGTGTTGTCAGCACCACACTCACCCAGTGAGCAAACCGGCCATCCCTATATAGGGATCCGAACCCATGGCCTTGGTGTCATCAGCACCGCACTCTCCCAAGTGAGCCACGGGCCGGCCCTTCTAGGGATTTTTTGAAATTTTTTATTCATTAAGGGCTTTTGACTCTTTTTCTGTTCTCTTCCCTGTTGTGGGGGCAGGGGGTTATAACATTGTATTCTTTTATTGTCATAGTGTTTCTCTTGGGGGATATGTGGAAGGAAGAGGGAGATACATGCTGTCTTCCTTGACCTGGATGCTCCTCATCTTAAATTTAGCTGAGAAAATGATTGTTTTATTAAAAAAAAATGTTACTCTGTGTTTAACGTCAGGGAAAATGTGGTATGTCTGCCTCTTTGGAGCTTAGAGTCTGGAGGGGGGACCTAGATAAACAAACAGCAGTGAGAGGGGTCTTAGAGGGAGCCACTAGGATTAAGTGTTTTCCTTGGTTGAGCTGAGTGGTTACAGAACTGGAAATAGAATAAGAATGCCTGAATTTATTACTGTGAGTATTAAAAATTTCTTTTCTTTGGCTTCCTTACTGCCCAAACTTTCCTCCCACCACTTTAACACATCTACCATTGTGGCCAAGCTCTCTTAACAGCTATTTCCTTCAGAACAATGGATGCTTGGTTCTGGGGTTTGACTTTTTTCTACCTTGAGCTCCCATCCTGTTCTAGCCTCCCAGAGCTGGGTTAATAGCTGGATCACTTTTCTTTTACATTTCTGACTCTTGTTTCCCAGAGCTTATAAAGTTTTGGGGCCCATTTCATACTTGAAGTGTATAATTTATTGTTTTGTTCTGGCTCTTGTTCTCCTTCACCTCTTTAGGTCATTTGGCCTTGAACCCTCCACTGTCATAATTTTTAACACTGACCTAATCAGTTGGGAGAATTTCAGATCCAAGACTTGTGCTAAGAATTTGAATACAGCCAGGAGATTCAGGGAGCAGGTGAGGCTATGCAGCTACCCAGTCCCCTGACCAGCAGTTTCTTTGTGGTGATTAAGCAATAGGTCAGCTGAGGATTTTCATTTCCCCTCTTATGGGCCTTATACTACGACCACTTTTTCTGGAATTATTAAGAAATGATGGGATCCCTCTGGTGGCTCTCTCTTCTTGGGAGATACTAGTTTCACAGCAATATTTCTTTCCTAAAAGTGTTCTTTCCTGCTCATTTCAGTGTAGCAGAACAAGCCTCATCAGTGAAGCAATCACTAGAAATAGTTTCCATACAAAATACTGAGCAGGTCTCAGTTATTACAATTTTAATTATGCTTATCATTTTAACGAGAAGCATCCACCCCACCCCCAAGTTTGTGCTCTTAACATCAGGTGGACATTTTCAATCTAACAAACATCTCAGGTAATTGCAAGTAATCCTCAGGTCACAGTCTCAAAAACTCTGGCATGGAACATTTGGTAGAATCTGAGGATTATTTCCACTTACATGATCTTGAGGGATGTCTGGTTCTGAACAGTAAGGCAGCGTGGGATAGTTGGAATAAGAAGGCTGTGGAATCAGACTGACAGGTTATCTGTATTGGTAGAATCTGAGGATTATTTCCACTTACATGATCTTGAGGGATGTCTGGTTCTGAACGGTAAGGCAGCGTGGGATAGTTGGAATAAGAAGGCTGTGGAATCAGACTGACAGGTTATCTGTCTCTTAGGGTTGTTGTGAGGATAAAGTGAAATACATTCTATCTTACTGGTGTGTAAAAATAAATAAATAAGTAAATTAAAGTACATGACACATGGTGGGTGATCAATATTTATAAATCAACTTCATACTCTGACTTAGCTATAAAATACAGCATTTAGCTAAGATGATCTCTAAGGTACTTCCAGCTCTAATAATTCTTGATTCTCTGATTTTATTTGTACAAAGTATGTTTTTAAAATAACTATATAACTGCACAGTCCTTGATTGTCATGAACTACTGCTTGCAAAATGCCCTTTGCCAGACGCAGTTTAGAGAGCCCATGGAGAAGGCATTGTACCAGAAAGTGCTTGTAGTTCTCTTATCTAAGCTTGTTTCCTTATTTTAGTCTTCCCAGACTCTCCTGAGGCTTATGAAGCTGAGTCACCGTCCCCACCTCCTCCTTCATCTCCACTTCCTGAACCAGTGCCGAAGACTGAGCCTGAGCCTCTCCCGGTAAAGGTAAAGCTTTACTGGGGTGCTTCTATTTCCCATGTCCTTTATCTCCCAAGAACCTGCAGCTACTATGCTAAATTATCCCACTTGCTGTATACTTCACATATGCCAGAAGATGGCTCTTATCTCATTCTGCTCTCCTACAGGTGTATAGAATTGGTCTCTTTTCTCTCCTGAAGGGAAGTTTCATTGTCAGAGGTAGTCTCAGGAAGTTTGCAGAGGTGGATCCTGGGAACTGTTTCTGTTTTGTTTTGTTTTTTCATGACCTTCAGCATCAGGGCTGTGCTGCACAACTCCTGGTGGAATTGTGCAGAAAGAGATCCTGCCTGCATCAGAGCAAAGTGTGAAAGATAGAGGAGAACAAACAACTCACGCACATTTGTTGCTCTTCACAAGCTCTTCTGGAAAACGGCTGGATGAGAAAAGCTGGCAACAAATGGGGAAATATAGTTTTGAATGATCTCGTCTACATTAGTGTGGATAGTGAAGAGTTGAGAAAATAGCTGCCGATGCATTTTTTTCCTTTGTGCCTATTAGTGTTCCTTAATTCATTGTGTTAAGACTGTCATTTAAATATTGCACCGATTTCCTCTATCTGGAGAGAAAAATGAGATGAAAGAGAACAGTGGAGATAAAAAGAAATTGATATTAGTGAAACCTGTTTGACACTAAATAAGATGGTTGTAATGTTGAAATGTCAAGGCTGACATAGCAAGTATCTACAGCAAAGGCATATGCCGTAGAAACCCCTTGTCTGGTTTAGGGGCTGTTCCTGTGTGCTCCCATGATGTCTGCCTTAGTCCTCCATTAAAGTCCTTACCATAGTATATTGCAGTGGTCTGCTTTCCTTGTCTCTCTTCTCCACTAAAGTCCTTATCCTATTTGTCTTTTTAACCATGGTGCCTTCACTACCCAACAAAAGTCTGTTGACTGAATGAGCACAGTTCTTTCCTCAGCATGCTACATTCCTTCTCATAAACAATGAAATATCAAGCCTATACATACAGTGAGCTTAACTTGTCTGTGTGTTAAGGTTGGTCCCCTAAAAGTAATGTGTAGAGTTCTTCTTTCAACTTTTTATCACAATGGAAGGTGATTATTATAGATTAAAAAGCATTCATTATTTTTCTCTGTAGCTTCATTTGGTCAATTTAACATTGTATCCTCTGATCTTCCTCCTATCTTTTAGAACTCAAGTGGAGAAACCAAAAGAAAACGAAAGCGCGTACTGAAATCTAAAACCTTTGTAGATGAGGAAGGCTGTATAGGTAAGACAAATTTTTGGCTCCAGTTCTGGAGATAGAGTTATTACCATAGAGAGGCATCATAATCCCTTATAGAGCAGTATGTCTTAAACTTTAATTTGCATATAAATGACCCCCCAGTGATACTGATGCTGCTTGTCTGTGGCCCACACTTTAAAGTAGCAGAGTATAGAGAATGCTACTTCTATAGTCAGAATACCTGGGTTTTTGTTTGGTATGTACACTATAAAAATAAGCACTAAGATCTTAGCTGAAAGCCATGTCATCTCTGGGTAGATAGTTTCTTGATCCATGGAATGGAGGTAAAATACCCATTTTGCCTAAATGTGGGGTTGTTATGACAATTTAGGTATGGTAATATATCTAAAAACACTGTCAAGGTGGAAACCACAAAACAAACTTAAGATGTTGTTATTATAGATATTGAGAAACATTTGTTTTTTTAGAATGGTTGTTTTATAAATTTGAACAGTGGGGGGGAAAGCCTCTGCAGATGATTAGAATCTGAAGAGAATATCAAGAATCGTCTTTGGTATTTGGTCCCATTTGTTCTTCAGGGGAGTGTGACTCACCCAGATTGCTTCCTTTATGTTTCCTAATTGTAAGCCATGTTAGGTGAAATCATGTGCTTGTTATGAAGGCCTAGAGGGGAATTAGAATTCAGGCTTTGAGTCACTGGCTGATTCTTCAGCCATGTTTTAGCTTTTTCTACCCTTTCTCCATTCAAACCAGATTTCTGTGAGGCTTTTAGGATTTAGCACTTGAAGCCTGATGGGATGCTCAGATCCCAGACTGAGTTTGGAAAGAGTTGTGTGTTTGGGCTCTTAAACCCCTTGTTAATCACGGGATAGCCCGTGATTGTCATTTCTCCCTTCTTGTGGTACCTACCACAACATAGACCTCCTAGAGGTTTCCCCACCCTTTCTTGGTTTTTCCTTTTCCAGTTCAAATTTCTGTCTTAAAAAGATTGATTGGCTCTGAAGAATCAACTTTTCCTGGGTAAAATGGCTATTAACTCAAGTGAAGACATCCTGCTGGTTGTGTGCCGTGTCCCATTACTCCCCAACTCCCACTCCTCTGAAAAAGCCTCTGCCATTTTAATTATAGCATGTGATTGGGGAATAAAATTTCTTTCTTTTTTTTTTTTTTTTTTTCTTTTTGTCTTTTTTCATGTCCGGCAACGGGATCGCAACCCTCGGTGTCGCACCCACACCTCGCTCAGCCAGTGAGCGGGAACCGGTCTGTATGTGGGATCCGAACCCTCGGTGGGAGCGCCTCCGCGCTCCCAAGTGGCACACTGCAGCAGTGCGCCACCGGGCCGGCCCGGAATAAAATTTCTTACATGTCATGTGGAAATTCTCTTTTCAGTGCCAAATTTCTTGTTAGCCTATGAATTCTGGACTTTGAGTGTTTTTTTTTTGTTTCTTTTTAGCTTTTAGTCTTCTTTTTTTTTTGTCTTTTGTCTTTTTTCCGTGTCCGGCAACGGATCGCAACCCTCAGTGTTGCCCCCGTACCGGACCGGGGACCGGCAATGGGATTGCAAACCTCGGTGTTGCTCCCGCGCCTCGCTCAGCCAGTGAGCGGGAACCGGTCTGTACGTGGGATCCGAACCCTCGGATGGGAGCGCCGCCGCGCTTCCCAAGCGGCGCACTATCCAGTGCGCCACCGGGCCGGCCCATAGCTTTTAGTCTTCTAATAGTTTGTTTTCAAGCCTCTTAGTTTGGCCATTGGTGGCAATTTATGTATTTACTGTTGAATTTCTTTTTTTTTTTTCCTTTTAAATTTAACAGGGCAAAAACATCAGTGCCACCTTTTTTCTCCTCCTTCTACCCCAAAAGAAAAATTCAAATATATCTTTGTGAGAGTTCATTGGGAATTTGTGGCTACTTATTGCTTTGTTCAAAACATAGTACTCAAATTTTGGCCAGGTGTGAGATGTGGACTTTTTGTACTCCTGTCTTCACACAGGATTGCTAAGAGCCTTGGATGCAACAATGAAAACTGTGCTCACATAGCACTTTTTTTTTTTTTTAAAGATTTTTAGTCCAAGCTCAACCTAATGAATCTTGGCAATGGTTACCAACAAAGGAGTTCTGCTTTCCTCTCTGCTCAGACTGTTCCAAATGTACTTTGCCCTGTCCTGTGCTGGATCAGATTTGTTCTATGAGTTTAAAAAGCTGACCTTTCCCTTTCTGTGAGTTTATAGCAGGGACTAGGGAGTTGGGTCCCTGAGATAAGTTTGGGATGGACTCCTGAACAAGGGGTGGATTTCTAAGAGCAAAGCAGTTGAGTATAATGCTTCAGAAATTTTGGTTGGTGCTGCCCTGACTGGATTTTAACTCCCCAAGCAGTGTGTTACACAAAATTGGCAATGAGACAGCCATTGGTTTCATTAATAAGTAATGAAATAACAAGCTAATTGATGCTGAAGTGTATTATACACGTGCTGCCATTTGGATACAGAATATAGCTTATGAAAGAACAAAGTCTTATACCACGAATTAGTAGTAAGTCATTTTTTTTCGGTATCTGTAGATGGCTCTTCAAACTTTCCTAATTTAAGATATCAAATAAATAACAGCTTATAATTTTGTCCCATTAATCTAGTTTCATAATGCTTTTAAAAATGCATGTGAGATGAGGGGACGGTGTTCTGGGGTCATAACTGCTGAACTAATAAGTATGCCATGGAAATTCCCTAAGTATCTTAGAGCAACATTTATCAAACTTTGGGAACTATGTGCGTTACTTGAAGATCTTGTTGTAATTTAAATTCCAGTTCTGTAGGCCATGGGTGGGACCTGATATTCTTCATTTCTAATAAGCTCGTGGGAGATTATAATGCTTCTGGTCTGTGGAGCACAGTTTGAGTAGTAAGGCCTATGCCTCTAGAACAATTTGACAAATATATTTATTAGAAAGAATTATCAATAATTAAGAGCTTGAAACTATCACTGTTATTAAATGAGGAAAAAATACCTTTCACTTTAATCATTTTTGAGCATTTATTGTGCATATTAAGTTACTCTTTTCAGCTAAGAAAAGATGTTTTACTTCACTATTGGTTATACAGCTGCTGCACCTCTCTAAAGTCACAGGAAGGTGGCATTGTACTGTTTCTTGTGGGTGGTATACGTATTGCAATAGTTACTGAAGAGACCCATATCAGTTCTGTTACATCATGGTTGGAAGCCACTGTCTGTGCTTGTGCCCTTTGGTGCATACTTATGATGACTGCTCACTGGGATGGCTCTTTTCCAAGTTTCCCTTGGGGAGGGTTCAGTGAGTTTTAATGGCAGGAGAAAAGGCAGAATATGCCCTTGGCTGATAGGGAGTAAGAGAACTGCAAACTTTGTTTCTCCTTTTATCATTGTCCTTCCTTAAGATTTTCAAGGGTGTCATCTGATAGAGTTTGCTTAGGACAGTTATCTTCATCGTGTAGACTACTACTAAATCTTGGGTTAATTAGCATTCATTCAGAACTAAGAACCAAACAGTTGAGTAACTGATCTCCATTCTCTGTACTTTGGATATGCAGAGAGTGGGTGACATCAGGATAGAGCTAGCCAGGAGAGTCCATGGTGTTGAGCCTGGCTAGCCATAATGGGGGCTGGCAAGTAGACCAGAGATTTAAGACTAGCAATGAAAATAGGCGGGCACTGTGTGTCAGGGAGATAAGACTTAAGGAACCAGTCAAAGCATGGAGTTAAAAGAAGGTGTTTGAGTTATAGACAGTTCAGATGTAGAGCTCAGGAAGTTAGCTAGCATAGACCAGGACCCAAATAAAAGATCTGGGCAATTAAATGATAAAGGCCGATTTAAAGGTGTGGGACATAGCAGTGAGGGAGGAAGGGTGAATGTTAATTCTGAGTCCCAACTAGAGGCTGTGCGAGCTCAGGATGCCACATGCTTCCTACCGGAGGCTAGATCTGATCTCCCAGTGGGAGAAAGGTTTGGTACTAGGTGAGCATACCTGCCTTGATCAGACAGTATGATGTGATTAGGGTGAGCAAGACATTTCTTTCTCTCGACAGAGTAAATGACTCAACCCACCTGTGTCCCATTTTTTTCTTATTCTACCAGTGACTGAAAAAGTCTATGAGAGTGAATCCTGCACAGATAGCGAAGAGGAGCTTAAGATGAAGACATCCTCTGTACACAGACCCCTTGCCATGACCGTGAAAAGAGAACCCAAAGAAGAACGAAAGGGCCCCAAGAAAGGGACTTCTGCTATGGGCAAAGCCAACAGACAAGTGTCCATTACTGGCTTCTTAAGGAAATAAACTGCCATCTCTGGTCGGTCAGAGACTTGGAGTGGTCAAGGGAGAAGACCAAGAGGTATAGACTTTCTCACTTACTGTGTAAGTTTATCTTGCTTCTCACCTCACCTGTATCAAAAGACTGTTCTTCCATCCTGTGAGGTTTATAGTATTTCTAGTTTTTAACCAAAAGGAAGTCACCTGGAATCAGGAGGCAAAAGAATATTTTCAAATCTGTTACATCCTAATGATGTAAGCATAGTTTAAGCACAATCTTTCACCTGTCCAGGAGAAGAATTCACTCCAGAATTTAAATTGGAACAGATTTCGGGCCAGCCCGGTGGCGCACTGGAGAGTGCGCCGCTTGGGAGCGTGGCGGCGCTCCCGCCGAGGGTTCGGATCCCATGTGGAGACCAGTTCCCGCTCACTGGCTGAGCACGGTGCGGGCACAACACCGAGGGTTGCGATCCCGTTGCCGGTCCCCGGTACGGGCGCGACACCGAGGGTTGCGATCCCGTTACCGGTCAGTAAAAAAGACAAAAAGGAAAAAAATAAAAAAATAAATTGGAACAGATTTGATAATTATCACTGAAGCCATTTAGTGGCTAATCCACTGTGCCCCACTCACCCTATGCCCTGATCCACTTATGGCTTGGGAAGTATTCCTTTTTGTTCCTCTGTATTCTGTGAACTTGTGTGGGTGTTTTCTATCCCTGGATTTTATTGGATATGTTTACCACTCCCCCTGTCCTCCTCTCCCCACTACCTCACTTCTAACCCCATGAAGCTGTTTTCTGTAAGTCTTTTAAATCTTGGTTGGACTAAAGGCTGAAACAGAAATCTCCCTACACTCTTGCTCCATTACATAGTACACTGACACCTGGCTACAGACCAGGACATTGCTTGTGTTCTGCCCCCTTTACAAAAGCTCTCTAGACCTTCACTCGCAATTAGTGGTTAGGAAACAGCCTCAGGCAGAACACAAATAGAAATTTAATGATGTATTCAACTCCACCAGAAATTACTTAGAGTCAGCGTTGATGATATTGAAGGAGTTGTGTTGCTGACACAGGGTGTGCTTTATACTGCTCTTTGTGGTTTGTTCCCCCTTTCTCCCTCTCTGTACCTACAGTGAAACCCATACGATGAGATGAAGACTACAAAGAGAAATCCCTTTGTACATACAGTGTGTGACAGTTACATACAATTTCTCCTTCTCAAGGAAATGGAATGTTCAGAAACAGCAATTTTTCAGGAAGTTAGTGAGGAAGATAAGGCACACATTTATACGCAGATGTTGCTTCTCTGTGTTTTTAACCACCCCTCATTTGCCTAAAAGTACACGCCTGCCCCCCTCTCTCCACCCCCCCCCCCCCCCCGGGCCCCCCCAAAAAAGGGGGGGGAGGGGGTTTTTTGGGGGGGAAAAGGGAAAAAAAAAAATTTTTTTTTT